GAAGTCTCCCCCTCCCATTGGAGCCCGCCGTGATTCAACTCCTTTGTACTGTAACAGGTCCAGCCCTCATGAAGAGATTGGATTAGTCCTTCCTTTCAAGGTCGCAGTGCTGTTCAAATTAATTCCTTCTGCCTGTTTCTAGGGCTGGGCCCCATCCTATCCTGCTGGCTTTTCGTGCCAGCTCTGGCCTTATCTCCTGCTTCCTAGGATGACCCTGGCATTCCTTTCTCAAGCCTTGCTTCAGGCTTAGGGTTCAAAACATGCAAGGAATTAAACCCCACAGTCAATGCTGTTTCCATCAAGGGTCCCTGACATCCGTACAAAGCCAAGTACTGTTTCTCTCGTAGCTCCCTCCTCATCGCCCAACAGAATTTAAGTCTCCTGGAGGCAGCGCTATGGGACTCCTCCCACCTGGGACTTCCAGTTCTCCACCACATGCCTGGCTCAGGATCAGACACTCATTGGCTCTTAAGCAGCAGACATTCATGGCTTGGCTGTTGGGTCACCAACTGATGCATTATTATTTTGAGAATCTCAGAACTTTTTCTGAAGCACGCTGGGCTCTGAAGTTGGGGATTTGATAACACTGGCATAAACAGATGCATTTAAGACAACTTTTCTCACCCTCTTAAAGCTGCCAGTAATTTTGAAACTTTCCTAATCTCACACTTGCAATTATGCAGCGAATTCCCAAATGGCACAGTTCTATTCCTAGAGAGTTGAAATATGATAGCTCTTAAATTAATTTCATCTGTAATCACTACTCAATCATAAAAATTAGGCCACTGAGCCATTATGATATGTGATTTGATCCGTTATCAAATCTCTATAGATAGCTTAAGAACTTAGCCAAGGGTCTTTTAGTTTGTAATATTTAAAAGGTTACATGATTCAGTTCTCAGGGCCACGCTAATTGCCTATGAATATATTCTTGGTATTCTAGGATAACAGTTTGCTTGTTTATTTAAAAAAATCCATTTCAGGGATCCCTGGGTGGCGCAGCGGTTTGGCGCCTGCCTTTGGCCCAGGGCGCGATCCTGGAGACCCGGGATCGAATCCCACATCGGGCTCCCGGTGCATGGAGCCTGCTTCTCCCTCTGCCTGTGTCTCTGCCTCTCTCTCTGTGACTATCATAAATAAATAAAAAATTAAAAAAAATAAAAAAATAAAAAAATCCATTTCATACTATTTTAGAGAATTACTTTTTTCACATTACTTACAAAATATGTTTTGATTGCAACATCTGAGCAAGCTAATCTCTAAGACAGCAAACAGGAGAGAGGCTAAGAGGCTTCCCTTCTGTTTCAGAATATATGCGAAATAAAATACTGGTGCTCATGGAAAGTGGAGGATGTCTTTCCTTCCATGGAAATTCAGAAAATGTAGGACTGCCCAGCAGAGAAGCAATCAGAGATGGCCAAGGAATGTGAGCTCTCAGGGGCACCTGCTAGGAGGGGAGGGGCTTCTCTCCGGCTCTGTGCTCTTCTCCGTGGAGTGTTGGGGAGGAGGACCAGGGCTGCCTCTCCTTTCCACTGGGTGCGGTATCCCATGTTATCATCTGCTTCTCTCCCTCACTTCACTCTGCCCATCTATCTGCTTTTCCCCCTTAATCTGGTTCTCCTTGGGGGCACCAGGGTGGCTCAGTGGTTGAATGTCTGCCTTAGGTTCAGGTCATGATCCTGAGGTCGTGGGATCGAGTCCCGCATTGGGTTCCCTGCAGGGAGCCTGCTTCTCCCTCTGCCTATGTCTCTGTCTCTCTCATGAATAAATAAATAAAAATCTTAAAAAAATAAACTGTCACTTAAGCACATGCATTCAGAGCCAGGGCAGGAGAGTTCATGTGGGAAGTGACGACGATGTGGGAGCCAGTGGAGTTCAATCCTTACCCCAAAGGCATTCAGATTTTAAACCATCCAAAGCCCCTGGCCATCCAAACAGAAGGGCACTGCACTCCCCCCCCCCCCCCCCCGCCCCGCTCGCTCAAGGAATCCCTGGACAGAAAGGCCTCTCTTAATTAATCAGGTCTTAGTAGGACAGAGAGTACTAGATTTTTAAATTTCAGCATATCTGAAATGAGAGTGTGTCTTTTGATCCATGGTGCATGGTAGCTAAATGATGCAAATAATGGTATGTCTCATAGGGAGTGGTGATGTGAAACCCAGTGGCTTGGATTCCAGAGTTCCTCAGACACAGCTTTGCTAAGAAAACAGAGGAAGAGGAGCCCTCTGTGTGGTCCAGGCGGTCAGAAGGGGACCCGGAGGAGACCCAAGGGAGCCGGTGGCTCCAGCTCACCTCCCAGCACAGAGTAGGAGGTGACTCTGGGTGCCTCTGAAGGCTCACCTTCTGACAGCATTGCCCCACTTCACCCTCTGTAGCCATACAGTGTTGTAAACCAAGGGGGAAGCAAGTAGAAACTTAAAGATAATTTTCCCACCAATGATCTTCAGAAAGGGAATTTTCAGGCTTTAAGAAATCTTAGTTTTTCACCAAACCTCCGAATTCAATACCCTTTCAAATACCATATTTTTATGTTAACAAAATGTCTTCACTTTCTCCTCCCACCCATAGTGAACTTTCAGGTTAGCAGCAAAATAAGTTCTATTTTTTTCAAGTTCCAGAATGCATAGGTATTTTCTTAAAAATTGGAGTTTTAAAGAATTATAGGGATTACTGGGCCATGTCAACTCTAAAATTGAAAAAAATACTTTTTTAATTGGGTAGATGTCAGTGCTGTTATCAGAATGGCAGAGAATCTGGATTGGGTCTTGATATGCGGTGCCATGTAAGTGAGGATCACGCCCTCTGCCCTTGCCAACCACCAGGTCATGGATGAAGAGGTACAGGATAAAACTGCCACAACCTCTGGGACAATCCCCATCTGAGGTGGTTGACCTTGGGTGCTCAGGGCTGATCCTCTCAGGGTCCCCATCCCATTGCTTGGAAACCCTACTCTCATTCTGAGCATTTCCACTATGCTTCCTTCCCATTTCAAAAGGACAACCTATCTTAGCTGTCCCAAACTTTCTCTACTGTTTTTTTTTTTTTTAAAGATCCTCCTTATTTTTTATATTCATATATTTTTGAGAGAGAAAGAAAGAGAGAGAGAGAGGATGCAAATGTGGAGGGGAGAGGCAGAGGAAGAGGGAGAGAATCTTATGTAGATTCTGCTCTGAGTGCTGAACCCAACACCAGGCTCAATCTCATTCCTCTGAGATCATGACCTGAGCCAAAATCAAGAGTCAGACTCTTAACTGACTAAGCCCCCCAGGCGCCATCCTTTACTAGTTTTAATAGGCTTTTAACTACTGAGATCTAGGTAGTGGTTGATGTTCAGAATGTCAAAGAACATTCATGGTCAAGTACTAATCAATCAGAAAAGATGTCAGTCATATAGGAGAACAAGGTCCTGGAGACATAGCCTTGTTCACACAACCTTTAATTGATCCATTGTGGGAAGGTCCAGGGGATCTTGGAAGGGGGGTCTAGTGGCCAGAGTGGGATTTTAGGAATCCAGTACATAAGTATTTAAATATTATAATAATGATAAAGCTATAATCGTACCTCCAGATAATGTCAGGTAGTGGCTGTCTGGAGTGTTGAGAAGGATTCTGAAGCTATATCCAGGCTCAGTGGGGGAAAAATACATGACCAAGTTGTCATTTCTTGCAAGGGTGGTAGATGGGAATGAAAAATTCTGCATAAATGGTGGATGAGGACTAGTGATTTCTAAGTGGGTGGTGGATAGTAAGCAAAGGCATTTGTGCCAGATATTTGCGACCCTAGTTACCAGGCCTATTACTATCATGAAAGAGAATTCTGTTAGCATCATGGGAGAGAATTCACCATTAGAAGAGCAAACTTTGGACACTGTAGTGGATTAAATAATATCCTCTAAAAATTGCTGTCTACCTGGAACCACGGAATGTGACCTTATTTGGAAATAGGGTCTTTATAGATGTAACTAGTTAAACATCAAGATGAGCCCACACTGGATTGTGATTGGCCTAAGTCTAGTGAGAATGTCCTCGTAAGAGACAAAAAGGACACTTAGAGACAGAGAGATAGCCACACGAAGATGGAAGCAGATTGGAGTGGCACTATAAGCCAAGGGACTCCAAGGGCCATCAGAAGCAGAAGACGCAAAAAAAGATTCTCCTCTAGAGTTTTTGGGGGCATGGCCCTACTGACACCTAGATTTCAGACCTCAGGGCCTCCAGAGCTGTGAAAGAATTAGTATCTATTGTTTTAAGCTACCAAGTTTGTACAGCTTAATTGGGGAGGCCTAGGAAACTAAAACAGGGACAAATAACATATTGCTTATTATGGGATTCGGATTAGCAGTGATATTTCTTTTGGGGAGATCCTATAATCTGTAGCCACCTCATCATAGCCACCTGTGATTATGGTGGTATTGATTTCTGAGGTATATCATGCTGGGATCCAGGCAGACAGTGATATTGAAGTACTCCTCCAGTGAAAGAGCCGGGAACCCCCCACGTCTCATCCACCTTCCCCATCTCCAGGCACGCACAGGAGCACTGTGGCCAGCATTTTCAGGAGGTGAAGGAAACAGATCTTCTTCTGACAAGACCATAAGGACAGATGTGGCTAAGAAGAGGCTGACCTTCTGTTCACATTGAAAATCTATCAGGACACCAGCCTAGCCAATGGATGATTTAAAACCATTTCATATTTGAGTCTGGGTAGCTCAGTCAGTTGAGTGCCCAACTCTTGGTTTTGGCTCAGGTCATGATCTCAGGGTCTTGAGACTGAGCCCCACATTGGGCTCCCTGCTCAGTGAAGAGTCTGCTTCTCCCTCTCCCTCGCTCTCTGCCCCTCCTCCCTGCTCCTGTGGGAACGTGCGCAGGCACATGCGTGCGCATACACACACACACGCGCGCGCACACTCTTTTGCTCTCAAATAAATAAATTTTAAAACCATTTCATACTGGTGATCACCAAAAAATGCTTGGGACAATGAGTATAATTAAAATGCATACCTGCAATGTTAAACTCTCCGGCCAGTTGAATATTTGCAAATTGAAAATCTGTCCAAAGTGAACTCGGAAGTCTGCCCCTAGTGGCCGACTGTCGGTCCTGGACACTTCCTTGTCATTGAAGATCACCTTTAGATATACTGAGCGCTTCTTGACATCCTCCCTTCGTAAGACCTCCACCCTGCAAGGTGAGACCGATCAGAGATTGAGTTAGTGATTTACTAGGCAAACTGGAACTGCTGACAAACAGGCACTGAACAGAACAAGATACACTGGCAACGACCCTGTCAGGCACTGTAGCTCTCACTGCACCAAAACAGCCACAAGTCTCGAGGAGCTTCATATAACAAATTGCCATAAGGACTAAGAAAGAGGCACTCAGAAGTCCACCAGGAATGGAGGAACCGGAGTCCAAGCATCATTCACTGTGTTATGGTATCCTGAATTGTTTTCAAAGAAGTGTTAGGTTTGCACTCCAAAGTTTTAGGTAAACAGAATCATAGTCCTTGTAAATGGAGTGAATTCAATCCATAAGGGATAGTAGTGATTTACATTTGGGTGGGATGCTTTATCCTAAAAATGTAGTAGCATATCCTACACAGGTCAAATCCACTTCTCTAGTATTCAAGTTTTTCTTAACTCCTTCTAACAGTGAGTACTCACTGGATACAGAGGGTTAAGAATTGTTTCTTTTTCTTAAAAGGCCATGTGGATTCCAAAAAAAGGCATCCTGGCAAGCATATCCTTCTTATAGCCAGGCAGTTAAAAAAAATCAAAACTTCCAAGAGTAGTCTTTAATTTTAGTATATGTGCTGCTGAAGCGAGCACAGTAGTCTTTAATTTTATTGTGCATATTTGCAGAGATGCCCATCCAAAGAACCAGTTTTTGGTTAAGTCAATAGCAACTCAAGCTTGGTAAGAACAGGGTAAGTTTAGATAAATAAAATAAAATCCAAAACACACTCTGGGTTTTTTGGGTGGTAAAGTTTTTTTTTTTTTTTTTAATTGCAGTGAAACACACATAACATTAAACTTATATTTTAAATATTTTTAAGTGGACTGTTTAGTGGCATTAAATACATTCACAATATTGTGCAATCATCCCACTATCCTTCTTCAGGATGTTTTCAGCATCCCAAATAGAAATTCTGTATCCATTAAATTAGGAGGTAGTTTTAACTTTTTATATCTCTGTAATTTTGGCCCATCCCAGATATGGACTTGCTCAAATGACTTAAACTTTTTTTTTTCTGTAAAGGAGTTTAACATTAAATTTTAAGAAGTATTCAAGACACCAAATGACTCAACTCAGAATTGTTTTATGATTTATTCCCAGTAACCTTTTGCTACAAACAGACCCAACATGCCCCCTTCATCTGCATGGCCTCTGTTATGTGATGGCCTGATGAGAAGGGTTGATCATAATCATTGGTTTGGGGTAACCTAGGTTATAGTTCTAAATCCCAGTGAAAACTGAGCAATTTAAGACTGAGGTATATATTCTCAGTCAAAATGAGACTCATGACAAAAGAATGCCAAATCAAGCCCAAATTTTCCCTTTAAAATACATGTAATAAAAAAAAACATGTAATCATATTTTGGATGTTCATGTTTTATTTTTTTTAAATATGGCATGCTATATGTGGCTTGAAATTAGTTAATTCAGTGTTGAAGAATAATTTATTTATGTGTAGTATCTGAATGCAATGAAATTGGGAGAACAGATCATAAAAGCCACAATTAAAAATACATTATTGGTACATTAACAGAAGTTTGAAAGTAAGGAGGTTGTAGGAAGTTGTATATGGACATCCTATGAATCCCCACATCTTAATTATCACTAAGGGGGACTGAATTTGTTATATATATATAGATGTATGTACATAAAGTAGAGTTTCTGTTTCTTAGGCATCACATGAATGATTAGACATTTATTTCTTCTTTTTCTTTTTTAGAGAGAAAAGGAGCATGGGGGTGGTGGTGGTGGTGGGAGGAGAAGAGGAAGAGGGAGAGAGAACCTTAAGTAGGCTCCATGCTCAGTGTGGAACCCTATGTGAAGATCAACGTGGGACTTGATCTCACAACCCTATGATCAGGACCTGAGCCTAAATCAAGAGTCAGACACTTAACCAACAGAATCACCCAGGCACCCCTAGAAATGTGTTTCTATCAAATCTGGAGAATAAGCTTCAGAAGGCTATAGGGGATGTCCACCATTCCTCTGAGAGGCTCTCTGGAGCCTTCAAAGAGAGAAGCTAGCCTCTGAGGCAGCTGAAAACAAGGGCCAAGGACAGACCTGCATGTCTGTGCCAGGGAGCAGAGAATGTGCAACTGTGGACAGAAGACACCCTGATGTTGTAGATGACGGCTCCCAATCAAAAGCCATGGAGGTAGTGGCTGTGAAGAGCACCTACTACCGGGAGCTCCCCTCCGTGTGTTCCTAACTAGCCTGTGGGGATGCCCTAGGTGGGGGAACCAGTTGAAATCACCAAAATATGGGCAAATATCTACAATTTCATATAGTTCAATCTGATGCCTATTTACAGAGTTCATGATTCTCCTGATCATACTGTGCCGGTCAGGAGGCATCTGCTCACCTGGGACACTGTTCATTGGGTGTGACGCTCCCTGCCAGGCTCAGCTCTGGGATCAGTGTGGGCTCCCCAGGCCTTCTTCTGCTCCGGGCTGCCCTCTCTCTCACCTGTTGCTCTATCAGGGCCCGATCGGTGGGTTCTGGGGGGACCGGTTTTACAGGTTCCTCCCCAGGATATGGCTCCTCCATCTCCTCATCGGGTTGTTCTTCGACTGCTTGCTTCTTTTTCTTCTTCTTGGCCCTCTGTTGGGTAAAAGGCAATCTTACATCAAACAGAAATTTTGCCATTCCACTTAAGACCACAGTCTTCAGAACCAGACAGACCTGCATGCCAAGCCAGCTCCACCTCGAGCAGCTGTGTGGCTCAGGCAGGTTACTCAGCCTCTTGACCTCTCTGTGCCTGTTTTCTCATCTACAAAATGGGGACAATCATAGAAAATTCTTCCCAGGGCTGTTGAACTGAGGTAATGCCTGTAAAGTACTTATCACAGTGTCTGAGCTGTAGAAGGGTCTTAAAAATGTTAGCTATTCCTGTGATCATTAATATTGGCTCTACAGGCCAAGGACACATCTTGAAAGTAAAGTAAGTCTTGTGGGCACAGCTATTGCGGGTTCCCTGATCTATTACTTATTGTACTTGGATTCCACGTTGCTGGGTTACATGCACAAAGTTATATAATTTTCCAAGGGGAGCTCAGATGCATCAATACCCGACATTCAGTGGGAGACAGAGTGGAGCCATCAGGGGCCCCAGTCTGCCTGTCCAGTTTCCCTCCTCTGGCCTCAAGGGATGACTTCCCAGACCCCTCCTGTCCCCAAGGTCAGCCCTGCTCAAGGCTGAGTGACTTGACAAACTTGGGCTTTCTTCCAGGCTTTCCACTGCTGGTATGCGGCTCTGTATGCTTCCATGTTCTGTTCATGCTCTTCCATGTGCTCTTCCAACAACTCACTTATTTCCGCTTGAATTTCTGCTTCATATGCTTCTTCGTCTGCTTTCTGGTCAACTTTTTCCCTTTAAAATAATTTACAGTACCTTAGTTATTTCTTGAAACGAAGTAACAGAATAATAACAATGGCAGACACCTGTATGGGGCTTGCTACATGACAGGTCCTATGTGACAGGTCCTCTTTTTAAGTGTTGGCGCACAACCCTGGGAGACGGATACTACTATCATCTGCGTTTTACACACTGAGGCGCAGAGAGAGTAAGTAACTTGCTCAAGACCCCACAGTTGGTGAGTGGAGAGCTAGAATATGAGCTAGATCGCTATTTACTGCCAAGCAACGATGCCACTCTGAGCTAAGTGACCTGGACGGCAAACAAACATCATGCCTGTAGATTCTCAACCGGGAGAGGTAGAGTGTCATTGTAGTTATTTTATTAGAAGAGGAACCACTTCATTATGTTGTTTCTCAGCCCCTGAAACTACTAGCCTAACTTTAGATTGACAGTTTGAGTTTTTCTTTGATAATTCTGCTGATACTGTATCAGGAGCTCTGCTCAGCGCAAAGCAGTGTTTCCCACACTGTACTTGGCAAAACACTAGTTCTGTGAGATCCCCTGCCAAAAAAGGTCCTGTGGCCCAATCAACCTGAGATAAACAAATGTGGTATGCTAATCAGCAGTGTGAGTCTCCGGAAGGGGGTGGCGGCCTCGCTGCATACAACACCTCCAGCCCAGCACTTTGGGATTGTTGAAGCTCATTACTTGGACTTATGTGGTCACTGCAGTCTGGCCTGCAGGTTCTCCTCCTGTCTCTTAAACTTACTCAGGTGCCTAAGGTTGACATAGATTTGCTTACAACACGTGGGGCCTGGTGGTTTTAGCAGTTAACAGTTCCCTAAGGCACAGACTCTTCGGGCTCTAGGATGCTATTGAAGATATCACTTTGGAAACACAGTGGCACCGGAAAGTAATAAATGTTGGAGAAATCTGGCTCATAAATTATGTTCCATCTCTGACATATAGAGAATCTTTTGCTCTGCTCTCTGTTATTCAGAGGCATAAATAAATTAGTGGAAATCTGATGACTTTGGCAGAGAAAAAATTATGCTGTATCATAAAGTGGCCAGATGAATCAAGAGTATGAAGAGTGGCACTCTGCAGGAATTTAGAAGGCACCTACTTATGGGAGGAAGGGGTGTTACGTATCACAAAGTGTCACCTAGAAGTGACCTTCAGGGCAACTTTCCTGTAAAGTTTAGTTTATCCTAAATGGAAGGAAGGAAAGAGAAAACAGGGAAATATTTATATTCTGCTTCTTGGTGGGAAGGGTAGCCTGGGAGATGGAATTGGGAAGCTGAAACACTGGAACTTCTGGGAGCCACCCACAGTTTCTGTGGGGCAGACTATTTGAATTTGCATGTCATCAGCTAATATTAACCGAGCGGGTACCAAGTGGCAGGTGCTCTGGGATCAGATATCCAGGTGTGACCAGGTCCCTGCCCTCATAAAGCACGATCTTGTGCTTTGTTCTGGGAACTGTAGGGTGTTTTCTGAGTCTTACGAAAATTACCATCCTAAAAAAAATCATAATTTGTAGCTATCTTTGGCTGAAACATGGCTGTCTTCAAAGCAAAGTATCAGATAATTGCCCACATTTATTACTTTTCACGTTGATCTACAGCACAGCATTTACTCTGAAGGAAGAGACCAAAGCCAACAGCACAGATAATCTTTAATTAATATAGAGAGTATGGTTTTATTGTGATAACTGTACTCTTAATCATGTATCAAAGTCTAGCAAATTAGGTAGCATAAATGTTATTCAAGTTTACTTTCTCCACAAAGATCAACAGACTATAGATGAATAAGGAAGATAAAACTAAAGATTTTAGTCTACTTGACTCAGGGGAAGGATTTCTAGAGCAGCATACAGAAAGCACTGATCATAAAAGAAAAGATGAACATATTTTATTTGTTTAAAATGAAGAGTTTCTGTTATCAAAAAGAAGCCAAAAGGAGTGAAGAGATAACTACAGTGTACAAGAGGGTATCCACAATGCACACCATCCACAGAGGCCTTGTGCCCAGGGTATATACCAAACTCCTACCAATTATGGAAAAGGTACAAAGACAACAGTCCAGTTCAAAAATCAATACAAGCCTTGAACAGAAAGAGGAAAACAAAATGGCCAATTCACGAACATAAATTAAACGATGCCATTGGATTGGCAAAATGTAACATTTGATAACAGCAGGTGACGTGGATGGTTTCAGTGATAGTGACCTGCGGGAACACTGGTCAAAGTATAAATTGGCACAACCACTCTGGAATAGTGTTTGGAATCAGCATGTGAGTATCAGAGAATCATATCCCCTAAGATGCAACAATTTTACCTCCAGGTATATTTTGGGAAAGCTTAGGCACATGTTCTTAAAAAGACATGTACAAGAATACCTGTCGAAGTGCTGTCTGGAAGCTGAAAAACAGAATCAACTCAAATGCCCATTAACAGTGAAATGGACAAATTTTGCTATATTCATATAATGTAGTATTATAAAGGAGAGAAAATAAACTCCAGCTAGCTACGTGTTATAAAGTAGATGAATCTCATACAGTATTGAAGAATACACTAAAGAGTACACACAACCTACTTTCATTTGTGGATACAACAAATACAGGTGATATTAAACTACATTTTCTTGGGAGTTACACATAGATGGAAACCTGTAAGTAGAACAAGGAAATGCAGATCATAAAAATCTGGAAAACGATTACTTCTGGGACGGAGGGGGAAGTAGTTGGGGTTAGGAACATGGGGGCTGCCCAAATACTGGCAACATCCTATTTCTTAACCTGGGGAATGGTTACATCATTATTTATTTGTTTTCTCAGTTATTATTATTTGCTAATTATTTATTCATAATTATTTTTTAAGCCGTATCAATGTTTTACGTGTTTTCCCAATGCATTACATATGTCAATAAAATAACTTTCGAAAATGCTTACTTTCTCAAAACAAGTTTCAAGGGTGTATTTGTAAACCTCTGAAATTCTCGAAGGGATTTCATTTCCTTCCAAACTTTTATGATGGTTTTAAGCAACGTTCGATCTTTCTCCTGTTCAGCGTCACGTAATTTTCTTGTTTGCCTAGAAGAGAAAATATATTATTATTATTATTATTATTATTATTATATTGTTATATATTAAAAAGTTATTTAGATGGGTTTGCAATAAAAATGAAACTAATACTTCTATAGAGATTATATATTTAATTTGATATCTACAATACTTCTTAAGTACTAGAAGTCCAAGAATGTGAATGGAAATTTGAAGACAATAGGATGCCGATCTGTTTTGAGAGGTTATTTGATTTTGTTTTCTCTAGGTAAATCTGACTTCAATTAAACTAAATTACCTTCTAAACTTCTTATTGATATACGTACCCTTAGGCAAACAGCCACTTTTGAAGTTATAAAAATAAGAGGCTCAGTAAAATCAGTTCTAATGGACTAAATTATTGTACACATACGAAAGTGTGTTACTGTCCCAGTTAACAATAAACATATTAAAGTCCATCTCTGTTTTTTAAAAAATTTTTCATTTAGGGGTACCTGAGTGGCTCAGTGGTTGAGTGTCTGCCTTCAACTCAGGTCATGATCCCGGGGTCCTGGGATCCATCCTGCATTAGGCTCCCCGCAGGAAGCCTGCTTCTCTCTCTTCCTATGTCTCTGCTTTTCTCTGTGTGTCTCATGAATAAATAAATAAAATCTTAAAATTTTTTTTTCATTTATTTGAAAGAGACAGAAATAAAGACAGAGAGAGCGATGGAGAGTGAGAGTGAGAAGGAGAGGGAGAAGCAGGCTCCCCACTGAGCAGGGAGCCCAATTCAGGGCTTGATCCCAAGACCCTGGGATCACAACCTGAGTGGAAGGCAGATGCTTAACCAATTAAGCCACCCAGGTGCTGAGTTTTCAGTGATAACTAGATTAACAATATTTCAACTTGATTTGAAGAGGGATCAGTTGGAAATGCCTTCATGTTTATTCCCACTATTTAAAGTGTGTGGGAATTACTTAATGCCTTACTTTAAGTCTTCTTTATGAATTATAGTCAAATCCAGAACTGAAAGTAGACACTTCACTGACTAAGCCACCCGGGTGCCCCAAGAAACATTCTTCCTGAGAGGAAGTGAAGCATGTAGTTAGGTTAAGGGCACAGATATTGGAACCAGACCCTGTAGGTTTAAATCCTAGTTCTATCACTTGTTGACTGGCCTCAGGCAAACAACTGAACCTCTTTATGCCTCATCTGTAAACTAGGGACGCTAATAGAATTTGCTTTATAAAGCAAATTGGTTGTTGGGAGTAAGACTTAATATTAGAACCGTGCCTGACATCTGGTAAATGGTGCACAAATGGTAGCTGTCAGTATCAAGTGGTCTGTTCTTCTCTTATGTCTTTAGATGCTACCTTCCCTGACTCCTTTTTAAAAACTGCAATATAAAATTGTGTTGCTGAGTTATATGACACCCTTAAAGGCTTTCTGATACGTTTTCAATTTCCTTTTTTAGTACTTGACAAAATGGTTTCCCAGAAATGCCAAAAAAGAAGTCTTAGCAAGAAAAATTTGACATCTGCTAAAGAAGCAAGCGTCACAAAAGAATATCTATCTATCTATCTATCTATCTATCTATCTATCTATCTATCTATTTATTTATTTATTTATAAATAAAGTTTTATTTATTTACGAGAGAGAGAGAGAGAGAGAGAGAGAGAGAGACAGAGAGTGAGCACCAGTCGGGAGGAGGGGCCAGAGGAGGGGGAGAAGCAGATTCCCTGCTGAGCAGGGAGCCCAATGCTGGGGCTCAGTCCCAGGACCCCAGGATCATGACCTGAGCTGAAGGCAGATGCTTAACTGAGCCACCCAGGCGCCCCACAAAAGAATATTTAATGACAAATTGTGGTCAGGGCTCTGGAGGAAAAGGAAAAGGCGGTTTTGCTTAAGTAGTCAGGTAACCCTTTTCTGAAACCTGGTGCAGATGGGGTCTGGCATGCAGAAGGGAGTTTCAACCAGAGGTGAAACTCTGGGAGCCACTGGAATCTGGATAATCTTTCCAACCACAGGACTGGATTCCAATCTCGGGAGAAAATGCAGATTAATAAAGAAAACAAAAACAAAAAACCTTGTGAGGAACTTCAAATCTTTGGAAGCTGGACAGAGGAGAATAATTAGACAAAGGACGGTGGGAAGGACAGGGGTGCGGACATCCAAGAGAGGGTGGTGTAGGGAGGGGAAGGAAAGAAATACACCACCACAGGCCCCTCTGGCGACAATGCCCCTCGCTGTCAAGAGGCCAGGTAGCAGGAGGGGCTTAGCAAGGCAGGGATGCCCAAGGACTGTGGCAAGATCAGCCTCAGAGGAAAGGTGGGGGAGCGAGTAAGGATGGGTTCGAGTGGACAGGAGGTGAGAGAGTAGAGCAGCAAGAATAGTACAGTGTTTTCCATAAGTTTGGCTGTGAAGGAAAATACAAGGAGAAAGTAAAGTGGTTACCAGATGGGGATCTAGGGCCACAGAATTCTTTGTTTGAGTTTGAGTAGGTCCGAGGCTAAAGACCCAGTAGAGAGGGTTCAAAACAGTGTTTCCCTTTCTTGCATAAACACCCATGCTTCCTTCCTTATAAAGCTGGCTCCAGTTTGGAGGACAAGACATGTGGTCATGGTGCCATTTACAGAAAATAGGATGGGAAAGGCCTGATGTGGTGCTGGCTGAGGTGAGCGCCACCTGCCACGGACTCAGCAGATAGATGCCCAGTGAGGGCTCATAGGGTGGCAGGGTGGCAACAGCCGGGGACCCACGTGAGGGGACATCCAGGAATAGGCCATCTGCTTAGATTTGTTTTAACAATCGTGAAAAGTCAGTAAGTCATTAAGAGAGTGGGTGAGCCAGGAACGCTGGATCGCAGAGGTGTTCATCTCCAGGGGTGACAGAAAGACCGTGCTGGGTCTGCCAACCACCAGCCTCTCATCGTCTGTCCATCTCACATGGCTCTGCCAGTTTTCAAATACTGATTAAGAAGTATGAGTCCCGGGCAGCTCGGATGGCTCAGCGGTTTAGCGCCACCTTCAGCCCAGGGCCTGCTCCTGGAGACCAGGGATAGAGTCCCACGTTGGGCTCCCTGCAGGGCGCCTGCTTCTCCCTCTGCCTGTGTCTCTGCTTCTCTCTCTCTCTCTCTCTGTGTGCCTCTCATGAATAAATAAATAAAAACTTAAAAAAAAATAAGTACGACTCCCTATAAAACCACTGCTGTATTCAGGACAGCCTTTGGTCACTTTCCTTACAAAATTTTTGCAAAAGCAAAATTATTTTCACAAGGACGCTGCACTGTGGGCTTTTCTTAAAAAAAAAAAAAAACATAAGTACGCATTTTCATGTTAAAACATACTCCTCATACTTTTACAATGACAGTATCTCCACATCACTAATTTCCACTTTGCGGGAGGAATTTCCAACTTGAGGCTAGGTTGTAAAAAGAAAAGTAGACATTTAAAGTCCTTGATTTATTAATTCCTGTTCTAAGAATTTATTTTGTGGAAATACTCATGCATATAGGAATGTCAATTAGAGTACAGTTTCTATGATAAAAAATAGGAAGAATACAAATGCCTATCACCTGGGAACTTAACATCTATATAATGTCAGCCTTTAAAAATAATACAAGAAGAGATGCCTGGGTGGCTCCACAGTTGAGTGTCTGTCTTCGGCTGAGGGCATGATCCCGGGGTCCTGGGATTGAGTCCTAAATAGGGTTCCCTGCAGGGAGCCTGCTTCTCCCTCTGCCTATGTCTCTGCCTCTCTCTCTGTGTCTCTCATGAATAAATGAATAAGATCATAAATAAATAAGATAATAAATAAATAAATAAATAAATAAATAAATAAATAAATATAATATAATATAAGAGCACCTGGGGAGCTCAGTTGGCTGGTTAAGCCTCTGACTCTTGATTTCAGCTCAGGTCTTGATCTCAGGGTCTTGGAATCAAGCCCTGCATGGAGCCCCATGTTGGGCTCCATGCTCAGAGGGGAGTTTGCTTAAGATTTTTCTCCCTGGGATCCCTGGGTGGCGCAGCGGTTTGGCGCCTGCCTTTGGCCCAGGGCGCGATCCTGGAGACCCGGGATCGAATCCCACATCAGGCTCCCAGTGCATGGAGCCTGCTTCTCCCTCTGCCTGTCTCTGCCTCTCTCTCTCTCTCTCTCTGTGTGACTATCATAAATAAATAAAAAATAAAAAATTAAAAAAAAAAAAGATTTTTTTCTCCCTTTCCCCCTGCCCTTCCCCACCTTCGCACTTGCACACACACACCCTCTCTTTCTTTCCCTAAAATAAATAAATAAATCTTTAAAAATAAATAAAGATACAGACCTAGACGTATTGTAATAAGAAAAGGTCCAAGATGCATTTTACATAGAAAAGCAAGTTGTGATATGGTAAATGCAGCATGATTCCTTAAAAAGATAAAACATATACACACAAACACATCTGTGTATGTATGCATGAGTATATATGTATAAACAACTTCGTGAATATACATGTGAAAGAGCTAGCAAAAATCTGCTACCATGATTTTCCCCAAGGGATGGGACTCTAGAAGATACCTTCTACATTACATATTTCCTTATTGTTTGGCAACAATCAGGGTTTAAATTTTTAAATGTTGATTATAAGAAATTCCAAGAAGCAGGAAGTATGTGTCAGAAATAATTAGGATACTTGTTCACATTTTGTCACATTTACTTAGGGCTTTCTGTTTTTTTTTTTTCTTTGTTTTTTTTTTTAATTTTTTTTTTTTATTTTTTTTTTTATTTACGATAGTCATACAGAGAGAGAGAGAGAGAGAGAGAGGCAGAGACACAGGCAGAGGGAGAAGCAGGCTCCATGCACCGGGAGCCGGATGTGGGATTCGATCCCGGGTCTCCAGGATCGCGCCCTGGGCCAAAGGCAGGCGCCAAACCGCTGCGCCACCCAGGGATCCCAGGGCTTTCTGTTTTTATCTCAAGTGTTATAGTTAAGTTTGAAGACCTCTTGGATTGCATTCCCTCCTTTCCCTCCTTGGAGAAAGAAACTGGCACCTGTGTCTTTTCCATCCACCTGTACCACACATGTGTGTATCTATGACAGACAAGTGTTGTGTTGGGTACTCTTTAGAGTTCATGAACCATATCACTCGTTGAGTATCCTCTTACACCTAGATATTTTAATTCAACAATGTTTTCTGCATATTGGTACATGCAGATCTAATTCAATTTAACTGTGCTACAGATGTTCAGTTAAAACTATACCAGATGTTTTCATTCTGGTATGGGGTGATTCCCAGCTCTTGACTTTTGTAAATGATACTGTGATTTTCTTACACATTATGTCTCCATGTTCACATCACACTTGGCTAGCCTATGATCAGACTGCCCTCTAAAGTGGTGGCTGTAGCAATGTTTGTTTACCCCAGCAGAGTAAGTTACAATATCCTACATGCTCATTCTCTTATTGGACTTCAAATTTGGTGTTAATAGGATGGATATATCTCATTTCTTCATTTGGCTTAATTTCTCATATATTCAGTGCATTTGGAAAAACTGGAAAAAAATCTTTCAACAAGTACACATATAACAAGAACGAAAATAGAAGTTACAATTACAGATTTTACTCACCGAATTTCAGACTTATACTCACTGATGGTTTTTTGGGTTGTATCGAGAGACTTATGAGTTTTTGCTGGATTAAGTCCTGTCTGAACTGCAATTCTGAGAGCTTGGAGCTTAAAAAAATATGGATGCAAGTTTTGAGTTAGACACTACCACCTACTGCAAATTACATTCCTTGAACCACCCACTCCTCCAGGGCAAAATGATGCCAGCAAATCTGTGAATGGATGTTCAAGCTTCCAGCTATTCCCACACTTCCACCAAAATGAACTCTCACAGAGCTCTTTCTTCTTAAAAAATAAAATGAGTAATAAAGAACAGTGTATGTCCCTCCCTGTTCTGCAGCCCATATAATCACGTTGCTTATGACAAATGTTGCTTTTATGTGTGTGTCTCAGAAATAAGGTTTCTTTCAAGGCTAAAAGTGGATCATTTTGGGTCCTGGATATACAGTGATATTTTTGTGAACAGATCATAAAACCGTAGACTCAAAAGAAGGAAATGTGGAATTATCTCTTATTTGGGCAGTAGATTTTAAAGTCAGGGTGTTGGACTAAAGTTGCCCATAGTCAAAATTACTCAAGAAAATTCCATTGGAAATAAATGCCAAAAAGCCATTTCTTTGAGCATCATTGGAAACAAATGACTCATGTTTGGGTACCACGTTATGGCAAATTACATGTAAAGATGAGAATGTCTCTAAGGACAGAGAGATTCTCAAGCCATGAATGGTCTCAGCACCTGAAATCACACAAGCAAAACACAGCCACATATCTTCCATTAAATGCCCACCCCTCATAGGTGAGATTACTTGCACTGTTTGCACAAACCTTTCTCTTTAAGCCAATGTGTGCCACGGAATATGTGCATATGAAATGTACATTGTCATATGCTTCCTTTTGCTTGCAGGTAGAACAATATATCACACACCCTAGGCCAACGGGGCTCAAGAAAAAAGGTGCATGAACATTTGCTGCTAGCAGGTATTTTTGTTGCTTGGGCTCATCAGAAGAACCAACCCCCTTAGCAGTAAGAATGGAAGAGTGTACCTTATCAGTAAGGAATTTTGCCTTGTTTCTCTGGTGTCTTGCAAGGTACTGGTCATATAATTGAGCCAACTTGGCTGCCAGAACATGCTCTCGGCTGAAACAGGGATGATGAGTGAAGATTAACCCTGAAATATCAATGTCCAGTTGGAAATTTCCAGGGGTGTCTCCAGATCCAATCATGTGCTGACTTCTATGGACATATTTTATGGCCTGTTAAAGAGAGCAGAGTATGGGGGGACCCCAGTTAAAGCACTTACTGGATCATGATGATCTAATGTGTCATGGGACAACAGCAAGATGCACCAGTAGCCGCAATAAGAATATACAGGTTTATTTATTTATTTTTATTCTAAAAATAAATTCATTTCATATTTCCCACCCTCCTAGATTAATATACTATTAATGTATACTTAGGACTTATAATTTCCTTTAGGACTTCAACACAGTGTATCCTTATTTATTTGAATAAAATTACAAGTTTTCTCCTATAAAATAACATTCAGTCTGTCTTTGATGAGAAAACCAACAGATTTTTTTGCTTCAAAAATATCCTTGTAAAACCGGGATGTGTTTACAAATGGGAGGCTTAAATAGGAATGAATTGACTATATCTCTGTCAATCTACCTTCCACAATATGCTGAGTTGAGCTTCCATTTGCATTTATAGGGAGGGAAGAGCACCCCTGCTGGGATCACATCCCATTGATATTTTGTGTCTTATAGAAACCCTAGTTCTGATTATTAATATCCTTACACTTCAGACTGCCACAATGGAGGGCATAATTTTTCTTCTCTTCCATTCAGATAAAAGTATTCAATTATAACCCACATTTGTGTTAGAAGTTTTTTTTTTTGTTTGTTTTTTGTTTTTTAAAGAGCAGTTGGAGGAGGTTTCAGGGGAAGGGTGGAAGGAGAAGGAGAGCATCCCAAGCAGGCTCCACGCCCAGTGTCTGTACCCAACACAGGGCTCAATCTCATGACCCTGAGATCATGACCTGAGCCAAAATCAAGAGTTGGTGGCTCAACTGACTGAGCCATCCAGCCACCCCCATGTTAGAAGTTTTTAATCTGCATATGGTCACTATGTGTCTTATGATTACTCAGACTACAGAGATTAATTAAAAAATTTCCACCTCACAAAGACATGTATAGCTGAATATCATTCCTCAGACTTAACAGAAAATTCCTCTCTAATTGCTTTCCTCCTGTTGGTTCTTGCTTTGCCCTTCCTCTTGCCATGGGGTTCCAGAGTTATAAGATCACTCAGGGTGTGGCTCTCAGGTTCCATCTTGTACTCTTGGTATGAGTAAGAAATGTGGGTAGCACAGCCCAATTTACCTGAAATGTTGCCCAGGACACCTATACTTCATTTCTCCTTCCCCAAATCTGCATTAGCCCATGTTCAAATGATTGCTGGTGGTCTCTGCCTTAGACTCTAGCTCACCCATGTAAAAAAAGCTTCCAGGACTCTAGTAGTCACTGGGCTAGACTGCTCGAAAGACCCCAACTCTCTTCCTATTAAGGAGAAAGACTCTCAGTTCCTTGTCTTCCTTTTGGTTAAATTTATTGTCTTTTGCTATATACTGAGAACTATCATGAAAATAGTGGAAATAATTTCTTCTAGAAATGTGTGGGAGATATCGGAAAGGGACACAGAACATAAAGACTTCTAACTCTGGGAAATGAACTAGGGGTGGTGGAAGGGGAGGAGGGCGGGGGGTGGGGGTGAATGGGTGATGGGCACGGAGGGGGACACTTGACGGGATGAGCACTGGGTGTTATTCTGTATGTTGGTAAATTGAACACCAATAAAAATTAATTTATAAAAAAAAAAAAAAAACAAAAAAAAACAAAAAAAGAAATAATTTCTTCTAAGAATAAATGATATTTATAGAACATATTATTTTAAAGTTGAAATTGATTTGATTCTTCATTTTTCAATTGAAAACCAAAAACCAAAACTATCAGAGGTGATGCAAATGGATTACCTACTGATGTTCTCAGTGTGTGTGGAGGTGTATGCCAATGGAGAAAGAAATTTAAAAGCTATAGAGGGATGGCTGGGTGGCTCAGGCATTTAAGCACTGACTTTTGTTTCTGTCTCAGGTCATGATCTTGGGATCATGGGATCAAGCCCCAAGTTGGGCTCCATGCTTAGTAGGGAGTCTGCTTTTCTCTCTTCTCTCTTCCTCTCCTCTGACCCCCACCCTGCTCATGCACTCTCTCTCTAAAATAAATAAATAAATCTTAAAAAAATAAAATAAAAAATAAAAGATGTACAGAAATGAATAAACATCGGCGGGATTAAAACACAAGTTTCTATATTCGCCCTGGGAAAATATAGGAACAGAATTTATTCAGATTCAGAATAAAATTCTATTCAGAATCTATCCAGTCCAGAGCCTACAGTAGATTCTGTGGTTGTTGTTCTGGTCCTCCCCGGGAAGCATTCTCATTCCCATCTTCTGGGCATACATGTCTTATTGACAGTGTGATTCTTGGAGGACAAGATGGGATCCTTTCCCCCGGAGCTGTTAAGCTTAGATTACCAAGGGTCGTACCTCCTAACACATGAAGAATTCTGGCTTTTCTATAAGAGGAGGAAATGAAGCCTGTCAAATTCAAGGAGAACCAGAGAAAAGAGAGGTAGAGAGAGAGACTGGCAACATGGAGTCGCTGGTCCCAGCCCCTCAGGTCCTGGTTCCCAAAGCCCTTCCTTCATTTTTATGATTTATCTTTAGCTCCTTCTCAGTTTTGTGGGCCACCAAGTTCTCTCTTACCTTAAGCTAGTTTGCACTTGATTCTGTCATTTGCAACCCAAAGAGTGCTGGCACATGCAGTGCTTATAACATAGTAGGTGACCAGTGCTCTATGAACCATTGGTGAGAATGGTGGAGGGGGAGTGGTAATTAACAAGGAGGTTGGAATCATGGTAAATTCCTCAAAATAGTAGGCAGTTTTCCAAAGGGGAGGTTCCTACACATATTCCTGGCCTCCCCGGAATGTAATGCCAACTTCTAATCACAGAACCTTCAACTTTTTAAAAAAGTAAACTCTATGCCCAACGTGGGGCTCAAACTCATGACCCTGACATCAAGAGTCACATGCTCTACCGACTGAGCCAGCCAGGTTCCCCTCACAGAATCTGTAACACATGACATTTCTGTCTACCCATACTAGGGACAGTCTAAGGCCATGTTTGAATATTGCTACCTCTATATTCTCTACGTTTAGGACAACTAAGAGTATAGTGGACTTTCAGTTAAGGATGGGAAGAATAAAAATAAAAGAAGGAAGGAAGGAAGGAATGAGGGAAAGATGCAAGGAAGGAAGGAACGGAGGGAAAGGAGGAAGGGAGGAAGGAGGGAGGTTGTTGGGATCGTTTTCAACAACCCTAACCCTACTTTACCGTCAGGATTAGGTGAACTGCATTTATATTGTTTATGTCTGATGTGCTAGGCCCTTGGCATTTTTATTTTTATTTTTTAAGTTTTGGAATAGTTCCTTCTTAGGAGGTATTTAAGTGCATTATTTTTCATTTGATGTTTAACTTTGTTTTTTGAGCCATATTGACTTTCTTTTTGTATTTCTCCATTTTTAACAGTCTTAACAAAGGCCTTGATTTAGGGAAAATAGAATATTTCACTTTTAAACACTACTAATGGGGGATGGGTTTGGTCATTCCTGCTGGGTTAGCTTTGAGCCTGAGAGCTCTGAGTCATAAATTCACCATTAATGGCCCAGGGAATTGCCAACTCCCAACCCAGCACACTGACTTGGTTTTCCAACACTTGGATGCCAGGGTTAAACCAGAGCCCAGGAAATCCACTGCTCTGCAGTAGAGAGAGCTACAGAGAGGAATAACAAGGGCATCTCTTCTAGATACATTCAGCCAAGCTGAATCATTTTAATAACATTCAATTTGTACTTTGATTGAGGTGTCCCTATGTGCCAGCCTTCTGCTTGGTGCTAGGGTTAAAATAAGAAGAAAACCCCATCTTTGCCTTAAGTCATTTTCAGGGTAGTGGGGGAGGGAAAGGGGAGATGCATTAATAAGCTATCAAGGAAGCCATCTTGCCCATCCATCTCCTCCTGTGCTCCTGCATCAGGTCAAAACTCCCAGATGGAAGGTATGTTTGGACATAAGACTAAAAATATAGGCCATATGCATTTAACATTTTTTTCTTAAAGGCAAGTCTGTTACATGGAATAGTAGAAAAACATGGGTTTTGACACTGGACAGATCTGAATAAATACAGGAAAAGGTAAAAGTTAGTAATAAATAAAATTGTGAAAATATTAATCCAGAAAGAGATGCATTATGTTTTGAATCACTGGAAGGTTCCACAAACACATTCCCAAAATGACAGAGGTATTTGAGTCCACTGTGAATATAACAGGTAATGTGTAATGGGGGAGCACACAGGGGGAATAATATCTCCTCCCTCTAATTTAAACCTGTATCCTGCTCACACATTCTAACATATGCTGCATGCTTTGCTATGTTCAAAGCCCAACTCTCCAAGACATGACCTTGAAAGTCTCTAGTCTCTTCTCTAACTTCTTTTGCTCTACGACGCTGGACAGCCAGCACCTCTGAGTGGGACGTTCTCCTTCTCTTCTTCCACATTTCTGCACACAGATGGGGAGATCTTCCCTCTCACAGTTATTGGGAGAATGTCCCACCTTCATGGCTCCTTCCCTGGAGAGAAGGAAGAATGTGACTGGAGAGACAGCTGGAGCTTGAGAGCCATTGGTCTGGGTTCTCTGCTATCCCTTCTTCGTTCCGGGTTCTCTGCTGTCCCTTCTTCATTCTCTCCTGAGAGGCTGCTTACTGGCTGGGAGTGTAATTCAAGGGAGATGGAGCAGAAAGCCCATCTGGTCTTGGGTCTGGTGGCATTCTTCTGTCCAGTTTACCCTAAATGTCACTGATCTGCATCCCTCTCTGACGCCCATGCATTTCTCCACTAGCTCACGACTTCTGAAAAGACACAAGATTAATTGGCTCCCTTAATACCCAACTCAACATAGTATTTACTCTTCTATTTTCTCATTGCTATCCATAATTTAATGCCTCATATATCAGTGTTTGCTGCTGAAATGGATGAAAGGTAAAAGGAGACTGGTGTGTTACCAGCTATGTGCTCAAGGTGATGACTGTCTCCATCACCAATTATATCGAGTACCTGTTATGTAAACAACTAGATGACAAATATCTCAGTGACTGTGACTTGGGCTTATTGTTTTGTGACCATCTAATCCCATGATCACATTTCCACACAAAGTAGCCACTCATTAATAGTTGTCTATAACAACAACACAATTCTAGAGAAATTCACAATTAAAAAAAAAAAGGAGCGTACAGTTACATCATCTTAATACTCACAATGATCCTCCGAGGTAGAGAAGATGATTCTTGTTCCTATTTTTCAATTAAGGAAATGGGCACAGAGGTAAAGGGATCCACCCCAAGTCACAAAGTAGGCGTTAGTAGGACAGTTCAGGTGCTCCAACTTGCACCTGCATCTTCCCTGTTGGTCACCCCACTTTATAGGATGATTGTTAAATCTCCTCATTCTCTTTCACTTTATCCGTGGTGAAATATTACAAATATAAAATTACATGGGTTTCTGAAGGAGGTGATCTTTGCTTAGTTCAGGAAAGCAAGAGCAATATAATTAAGCACTAAGGCAGGATGCTTTGTCTGTTTACCACTACCCATAACTTGCTGAGTCTGTTCCAAGGATTTGAATGTACTATCTCTACCCATCTGCACAACTATCCTAGGAGGTAGGTGCTATTACGATGTCCTCTTTACAGTTGAAGAAATTGCAACAAGGATAGATTAAGGGCCAAATTTGCCCAATGAGCGTTAGTGCCTGGACTCAAATCAGGTGGTTTGCCACCAGACCTTAGGAAAACACAGTAAAAAGGACTTGCAAGGATAGAAAATCCCCAGTTGGGAGCACCTGGGTGGCTTTGTTGGTTAAGTGGCCAACTCTTGATTTTGGCTCAGATCATGATCTTAGGGTTGTGAGATGGAGCCCTTGTGGCCTCCACGCTTGGTGAGGAGCCTGCTTGAGATTCTTTCTCTCCTTTTCCCTCTCCCCTTCTCCCTGCTCCTGCACATACTCTGTTTATAAAAAGAAAATCTCCAGTTATATAATAAAGAGACAATGAGTAGGAAATAATCCTGTAGCATCTATGAGACGGCAGAGAAATAAAAAATAAGGCCAGCTAACTGGGATATGCAAAGAAAGTCACTTTCTACCCGGGAACATGGTCCTTGGTTAAGAAAGGATTAGATGAGCATAGCAGACGCGCTCTTATATAATATACCTGCTGTGTGTTCTTTATGGTAAGGTAGTAAACTTTAAAAAAAAAAACAACAACCACCAAGGTAGAATGTTATGAATTTAGTACCCCAAGGTATTCAAAGAGCGAAGCACTTTCAAGCACATTCATGTATTAAAAATGGGAATAAAAGTCTACTTTTTGCTAAAAAACAATGGGGAGGTGGGCTCACCTTTTTATACAATGTTTCAAGTTCTGCCTTAATGTCTTGTTCCTGTGTCAACATTGGTGGTCTTGAAGGAAACCCCTTGGTGGGATTTGGCAGTGCTAGGATTCTCCCGTCATCTCCAAACCACTTTCTTCCCTGCAGATCAAGCAGAGGGAAGAACACCATCTTCTTTTAACTGGATAGAAAATGGTTTACAGAATAAGCAACATTTGCAAGAAAATTCTGGGTTGACACACACATTTCATGCACCCTCCCCTGTCCTGATAGATCTTTAAAAGCCTTGTTTCCACTAGCAACTGAGTCTTCACTAACACCCTCCCACAATTAGTTTAAGATACAGTCCTTACTCCCCTCCAAAAAAAGCATTTTACAAAAAGCTTACAGGAGTACTTAAGAGAAAATGCACTTCCTATTCATTAAAAATTGGAGAAAAAAACCAGAGAGGGAAAAACAATTGAAAACATTCTATCCGTGTACAAGTAAACATTTCTGTGAATTGAGAAAAAATCGCCAACATCTGATTCAGCAGGAGAATCCCAAGCCCTGCCAGCAGCAGATGGGTTTTGAGCAGGGGAGAGGGTGTGTGGTTTGAGGATCACTAAACGTACTGAAAGACAAATTAAAAAAGAAAAAAAAAAAAAACTGAACCACTGTCTGCAGAGAGGAGGAAATGAGCACAAGGGTGTGGTGACTGTCTCCAATAGGGAGAGTCATCCATGGGCTTCAGGTGCCACAGGAGCTGCATGCTTACGGGGTCCTGCGTCAGCAGCCTGTTCTCCACGATGTTCTGACAGGTGCGAGGCACCTCTGGTCTTGCTCCAATATAAAGGCCTTCGTCTTCCAGAAATCTGGGCTGCACATTCTCGGGAAGCTTTTTATACGTGGGCACTAGATAATGCATAAATAAAGACAAGCAACATTGGTGCCAACCTACACATTTCAAATTGCAATTTGGTGAGCTAAAACAACCACTGGAAACTTCACTTATCTTCTTGGAAGTTGCAAACACTCCGTATTAATTTCTAGAAGCCGAACCAAGGAAAAGAGGAATGTGTTCACTTGTCATATCATGCTGTAGAATCATGACATGATTCCACATCTTACTCACCAGGGTGGCATACTGGGGGGGAGGGTGGTATTGAAATCAAAGGAGCTGCTGCACCTCTTACTGCCAGAACAAACCTGGGTGGGGCACTGCTTCGAACACTTTCCTTCTGTACAAAAGGGGTGATAACCTGTACTCACTGGGTTCTTGGAAGAATTTAATGAGATAAAGTATGAGAAGATGCTTTGGAAGTTAAAAAAGAGGATAAGTGAGAGCAGGAAGGGAGGCTTTTCTCGTAGGCCCCCTGCATTTGCACTTACTCACTCGAGAAGGCTGAGAGGGAAAGAGCTGGGGATGGGGGCCTGATGGCATGGCTGGTCCCAGTTTGTGGGGTAACCCTGAGCACTGTGGGGTGGTGTGCAGGGCTGGGGTGGAGGGAGGGCCTTGCAGATCACCAGCAGCATGGGTTCTGGTCAAGAGGGTGGCCCACTGAAGGTTCCCCTGGAAGAGACCGAGTGGATTTTCAGTTCTGGAAAGATCATTGGGTTTGCTTGGGTAGAGTAGGCCAGAGGAGAAATAAGAAGCAGCCAGGGGACCTGGGAGTGTCCAGAGGTAATTTGGGAGTTCATGAGGAAAGGTGGAGAGTCTCTTTTGTTTATAATTATCTCACTCTAAACCTCGCCGAATCCCTGAATCTGCTAATTTTCCTGCATGTGGCCATTTGGACATTCAGTTTTCCAAACTCACCCACAAAAAACAACTAATGTCAGCGTTCCTGGAAAAACCAAAGTTGGAGTCAGGGTGGGGGGGGGCGGCGGCGGGTGTAAACCATTTTTTTCCTTTTTCATCTGCTCCCCACCCTCCACTCACAGGGCTGGCACCAACCCCGCACCAACGCAGTGATCTTCTAAGGTTTTCATGGAAATGTTTTTGAGCACTTGCTCACTCTGTGGACATTTACTGGTTGTGGACACACTATCATGCATACACAATTAAATCAGGAAAGGATGAGATTAAAAATATGTGCCAGTAGAAGCCTTGACATCTGCTTCCTGTATCCCAGGGGGGCGGACACGCTCTACTTTGGCAACCATTTGCCAAGCAGTGACAAGAACAGCATGAGTAACAGAAAGCACCAGTAACAAAAAGCATTATTACTTTTTTTTTTTTTTGCTTTTTTTTTTTTTTTTGCATTATTACTTTTGATCCCCAGCCCTGTGCTGGTTACAGCACAGGTGCTTTGCTCCTGCGATTCTTCTCAGTGCTCAAAGGAAAAAGAAACGCCCAGAATCATGTCCTAGGATCGTTTCATTTCCTCCTCTTTTCAGATGAGACTCTGAGAATGGAGGAGCTCCCTAGAGGTCATACCTCAGGGTGGAGGAGCTGGGGCAGGGTGGTTCCCCAACTCCTGTTTGCCAGGCCAGGGGTCGCCTCCCCAGAGGGCCTTCCCTTTACACTTCTGCTTTTTCATCTGTAAACTGGGCATGAGAATGAACACTTCTCCAGCCCTGGTGTGGGGCCAAGTGAGCTGGTAACACATCAAGTGCTTAGAAAGAAAGCTGGTGGAAGAAGTACCCAGAACGCATCTGCTATTATTGTTACGGCCAAGTTGTAACCCTTCGGTGCTTTTCCCAGCTACCTATTATATTTTTTTATTTTTAAAAATATTTTATTTATGCATTTGAGAAGGAGAGAGTGAGCATGAGCAGGGGGAGAGGCAGAGGTAGAGGAAGAAGCAGACTCTCCACTGGGCAGGGAGCCTGATGTGGGGCTCGATCCCGGAGTCCTGGGATCATGACCTGAGCCCAAGGCAGACGCTTAACTGACTGAGCCACCCAGGTGCCCCCCAGCTACCTACTTTAGAAGGAAACTTGAGATGTCCAACAAATTCTAATACTTAGAACCATACACGATTCAAGATGATCTATCAAAATGGAACAATAATTTATCCTTGGCTTGGCATTTAATTGGAACTCAGAACATGACAAATGAAAAGAAATCCAACTCCCAGGTAAAATGAGTGCACCCCTTCCCAGCCTGAGGGCGAGCCTGCCATTTTAAGTGTGAACTAACAGCTAACTAACTGGGGAGCTCCTTCAGGCACTCTCAGGAGGAAAGAACATTCCAGGGGAAAAAAGAGTATAGGGAAACCCAGGGTCAAAATGAAGCAAGAGGCAGCCAGTAGGAGTCAATCTGATGGCCCCTGCTCTAGAACTCCAATCTTTGTCCCCCAGGTGAGGAACCTCAGCCAACCTGCTTTGCACCTCCCTTAGAATTTCTGAAGTAATCACATCCTATTGCATGCTGGTGGGATGCCTGGTGGCTGGGGGCTTCCAGATAGTCTCAGGATGGTGCTGGCACCCAGGGGGAACCAGCCATGGAGTAGAGTGTTGGAACTCTACTGCTTTTATCCCCACCTCTGGGAGAAAGAGAGGGACTAGAGAGTTCAGTAATCAACAATGGCAATGATTTGGTCTCTCATGTCTCCATCAGAAGCCTCCATACAAATCCTAACTGAAGGGGTTTGAGGAGCTTCCTGGTTGATGAACAGGTAGAGGCACTGGGAGGATGGTGCCTCTGAAGGGGGGATGGAAGCTCCATACCCCTTCACATGCTTTGCCCTATGACTCTCTTCATCTGTGTGCTCTCTCATACCCTAATTAAAAAAAATTATTTATGAATTTGAGAGCAAGAGAGTGAACAGGGGGAGGGGCACAGGGAGAAGCAGACTCCTCACTGAGCAAGGAGCCCAACACAAGACTTGATCCTGGGACCCCGGGATCATGACCTGAGCTGAAGGCAGATGCTTAACCAACTGAGTCATCAGGCTCTCCCATACCCTTTATTATATGATAAACCAGTAAATATAAGTGTTCCTTTGAGTACTATGTGGTGTTGAACAAATTACCTAACCTGAGGAGGGGGTCATGGAACCCCTAATTTGTGGAAAAATCAAATAGAAGTATGGGTAACCTTGGCACCTGCTACTTGTGTGACTGGTGTCTAAGTAGAGGTAGTTTTGTGGGACTGAGTCCTTAATTTGTGGGGTCTGTGCGAACTCCAGGTAGATTGTATCAGAACTGAATTGTAGGATACCAGGCTGGTCTTGGAAAATTGGTTGGTGTGGGGAAAAAAACCCCAAACATCTGGTCACAGCAGTGTTCTAGAAGGGTTGAGTGTAAGTAGAGGATGAAAGAGAGATTTTCCTTCTCACAGCCTGAATCTCAGAGTCTCTCCTGCTCTCTGCCCCGAGAGCAGGTCACTGATTTGATGAGGGGACACCCCATCTCATCCTTGTTTCTTGTGCTATCTATTGTTGAGTGTTTGTTCAAAGGCATTTTCTCATGTTCTTTTTTTTTTTAATCTGAAGAAATTTCTTGATTACTAACTCAGATTAGAAATTGGAATCTGCTATGGAAATTGGACTTCTTCAGACAGTAGCTGCAGTTCGCGTGAAGGAAAAGTTGCCCATACTGAGCAGGAAGGCAAGAAAGAGCAAGTACCTGTCAGTCTACTGGGTACGAACAGGAGTTCTTTTTCCCTCTGCAGCCTAACGTGAACGCTTTCGTAATCTGCAGGTCTGACTGCCACAAAATCCTCGGCTGCGTGGTCCAAGCCCAGTAGAAAATCCTCGGCATCCTTAGCACTAAGCAGCTCTTCCTCATCCTGCATTACCTTAAACAGTAAGAAAACATTATGCTATGATTACTAGTTTGCTTAGAAAAATAATGACATTAAACTCATCAAACAAGGTATCTTATAAGATTTTGTTTTCTTTCTTTCTTTCCTTCCTTCCTTCCTTCCTTCCTTCCTTCCTTCCTTCTTCTTTCTTTCTTTCTTTCTTTCTTTCTTTCTTTCTTTCTCTTTCTTTCTTTCTTTCTTTCTTTCTCTTTCTTTCTTTCTTTCTTTCTTTCTTTCTTTCTTTCTTTCTTTCTTTCTTTCTTTCTTTCTTTCTTTCTTTCTTTTCTTCCTGAGAGACACACAGAGAGGCAGAGGCAGAAGCAGGCTTTCTGCGGAGAGTCTGATGAGGAACGCAGTCCCGGGACCCTGGGATCACGACCTGAGCCAAAGGCAGATGCTCAACCACTGAGCCATCCAGGCAATCCCCTTTTTATATTTTTTTTAAATAAAGCATAAGACTTGATGGCCTTTCTGTTTCACAAGTGGGTTTTCTTTGTTTTTTACTTTTCCATATACTCGGAAAATGTCAAAATCAGAATGGGCTGAGGTCTGAAGAGTTGTGCTGGGTAAAGCAACTGAAATCTCAGCAACTCTGGCCTCCTTTGAGGGTGTGCATTTTTCCACATTTACTTAAAGTACTTGGGCTCAGAAGTTATGCAGTATGCTAACCTTCCCCTGGCATGGACCCCAGGGCAGGACACTGTGAGTACTGTCCACACGATGCTCAGGCTGCCTGGGTTTGCATCCCAGCTCCAACCCACACAACCTGCATGATTTTGTGAAACTTACCTACCATTCTAATTCTTGTTTTTTTTCAACTGTAAGATGGGGATACTAACAGAGCTCACCTCTTAGGGTTTTGTAAGGATAGAATTAACAGACACAGGTAAAAATTCTAAGCACTAGGCCTGGAATCACAAATGCTAGCTTGTAGCATGTTAATTTGGAGTATTTTCCGAACTTTATCTTCTTCTTTCTTCCTCTTCTCCATCTCCTACTTACTTATTTTTCTCCTTCCTTTCTTTCTTCTCCTCCTCATTTTTTTTTTTAAATTAAAGCCTGATGCCCATTTATGAGCAACAGCCTTTAAAATCCCATTGAGATTTGCTCAGATGTTAGCCTCACTACCTGCTTCTTAATATTTCCTCCCAAATAACCAAAACAATGAGAAGGGGAAGTAAATAAACAAGGTAAGCAAGCTCCCAGCACAACTTGAGTACACAAAATGCCAAAAACTTTGAAAAAGTAAAAAGAGAAAAGTGTCCTAATTTCAGTGGGTGATTTTTCTCACTTGTGTCCCTTTTTGCTTTATGATGAGCAGAGATGGGCTGAGAAAAACTGCAGAGAAGACAGAAAAGGAGAGTTACACATGATCTAAAAGCTCTGCCAGAAAGGCTAAATCCACTTTGAGTATAAAAATACTGAAAAAAGAAAAAAAAATACTGAAAAAAGGGTCTGAGCAGACAAGAGCATGGAGTATGGGGGAGGGGTTTCACAGGGGGCATGATTTCAAAGGGCGGTTTTAGGAACATGGACCTACCAGGGAAGAAACGTGCCCAAGAGAGGAGGCTTTTGGAGAGAAGTGTCACAATTTCAGAAGCCTACAGATCTGTTGATAGCCCTGCCTTCCAAAAGTGGACCCCGGTTCTCCTCCCTTTCTGTATGCGCTGTACTTAGTTATGCAGGATAAGAGTGCAGTTATGTAGCTTCTGACTCTATGTCAGGAAGAGCACTGTGGCTTCCTCCCTGCTTTCTCTTGGAGCACTAGCTTTAGGGGAAATCTGTCACATCATGAGGACACTCAAGCAGCTTCCTGGGGAGGTCTGAACCGAGGTCTCCGGCTAACACCCAGCGCTTGCCGGGCAGAGGAATAAGCCACCTTGGAGGCAAAAACCTCCTGACCCAGTCAAGCTTTCAGATGATTGCATTCTTGGCTGCCTTGTCTGCAACCTCACGAGACATCCAGAGTCAGAGCAAGCTGAATATTGATTTGTGAAACAATTACTATTGAATAAGCTTAAGTATTCCCACATTTCCATAAACCTAGGTAAAAAATTACATTTTGACTTTGTTGCTTGTGCTTAGGTGTCATATCCAAAAACTCATCACCAGGACCCATGTCAAAGGGCTTTTTTTCCTGTTTTTTTTTCCCCCTAGGAGTTTCATGGTTTCAAGGTCTTACATTTAAGCCTTTAATCCATTTTGAGTTAATTTTTTGTAAGTGGTGTAAGGTGGGGGTCTACTTTCATTCTTTTGCATGTGAATATCCAATTATCCCAGCACCATTTATTAAAGAGACAATCTTTTCTCCATTGAGTATTCTTAACTCCCTTGTCAAATATTAGTTGACCGTATGTGCTTGGGTTTAGTTCTGGGCTCTTGATTCTGTTCCATTGGCATATTTGTGGGTTTTTATGCCATTACCCTGCTGTTTTGATGGCCAGCTTTATAGTATAGCTTGAAATCAAAGTTTGATGCCTCCTGCTTTGTTCTTCTTCTCAGGATTACTTTGGCTTTTGGGATCTTTAGTGGTTCCACATAAATTTTAGGAGTGTTTTTTCTACTTTTGTAAAATGTGTCATTGAAAACATTTATAGAGATTGCATGGAATCTAAAGATGGCTTTTGACAGTATTGACATTTTAATATTAATTCTTCTGATCCATGAACATGGGATAACTTTACATTTATTTGTGTCTTCTCTGATTTCTTTTATCAGGATCCTACACTTTTCAGAGTACAGGTCTTTCACCACCTCAGGTAAATTTATTCCTAAGTATTTTATTGTTTTTGATACTGTTGTAAATGGGATCAATTTCTTTATTTCTTTTTCAGAAAATGTGTTGTTACTGTAAAGAAACATTACTAGTTTTTGTTTTGTTTTTAAAGATTTTACTTATTTATTTGAGAGAGAGAGAACATGGATGGGAAGGGAGAAGGAGAAGATGAGGGAGAAGAAGACTCTCTGCTGAGCAGGAAGCCCAATGTGGTGCTTAATTCCAGAACCCCAGGATCATGATCTGAGTTGAAGACAGATGCTTAACAAACTGAGCCACAAAGGCACCCCACACTACTGGTTTTTGTATGTTAATTTCGTATGCTACAACTTTACTGAATTCATTGATTAGATATAATAATTTTTTGGTTGAGTCTTTAGGATTATCTCTATATAGAGTCATAGCGTCTGCAAATAGAGATCTTTTTTTTTTTTTCCAATTCAGATATCTTTAATTTCTTTTTCTTGCCTGATCTTTTTTTTTTCTTTAAAGATTTTATTTATTTACTCATGAGAGACACACAGAGAGAGGCAGAGACACAGGCAGAGGGAGAAGCAGGCTCCATGCAGGGAGCCCGATGTGGGACTCGATGCTGGGACTTGATCCTGGGACTCCAGGATCATGCCCTGGGCCAAAGGCAGGGTCTAAACCACTGAGCCACCTGGGGGTCCCTTGCCTGGTTGCTATAGTTAAGACTTCTAGTATTATGTTGAAATAGGAGTGGTGAGAGTGGGCACCATTGTCTTGCTCCTGATCCTAGAGGAAAAGCTTTCAACCTTTAGTTATTGAGTATGTTACCTGTGGGTTTGTCATAGATAGCCTTTATTATGTTGAACTATGTTCCTTCTATGCCTAAGAGTTTTTATCAAAAATACATATTGAATTTTGTCAAATTTGTTTTCTGTATCTATTAGAATTTCTTTCCTTTTTAGAAATTAAAAAAATATTATTTATTTCTTTTTTTTCAGTTTTATTGAGATATAATTGACATATCCACATCTTTTTTTTTTTTTTTGAAATAAACTCTACATTCAATATGGGGTTCAAATTCATGACTCTGTGATCAAGAGTTGCAAGTTTTACCTACTGAGCAAGTCAGCCTCTTTGAATTTCCTTCCTTTTTAATGCTGAATAATTTTCCATTGTATGTATAGGCCACATTTTGTTTATCCATTTATCTGCTGATGGATACTTCGGTTGCTTTTACCTTTTGGCTATTGTGAATGCTTCTCTCAGCGTTAAGTATACAAGCATCTGAGTGCCTGCTTTCTATTCTTTTGAGTATATACCCAGAAATGGAGTTGCTGGAACATAGTAATTCCATGTTTAAATATTTGAGGAATGACCAGACTGTTTTCAGAGCAGCTGCACCATTTTACATTGCCATCAGCAATGCACAAGGGTCTAGTTTCTCAACATTCTTGCCAGCAATCGTTCTTTTCTTTCTTTCTTTTAGAAAAATAATAGCTATTCTAATTTGTGTAAAATTGTATCTCATTGTGGTTTTGATTTGCAGTTCTTTAATGATTAGTGATGTCAAGCGTATTTCATGTACTTATTGGCCATTTGTGTATCTTCTTTGCTGAGATGTCTATTCAAGTCCTTTCTCCATTTTTTAAATGGTATATTTTATTTTGTCTCACATGTGCCACACACAATTAGAGTCTGAGTCATAGCTTGGGTGTGGAATGGGGCACAAAAAGCTAATCACCTGTGAGGTTGTGGGGAAAGAGAGAGAGAGAAAGAGAGAGAGAGAGAGAGAGAGAGAGAGAGAGAGAGGCTTCATTTGCCTTGGAGGGGCAAACATTCTGCATATGAAATGAATGCTAATCATTGTCTGGAGTCCAGCAAGAAAAATCTGTAAGCTGCCTTGTTCTGCTTTTTTTTCGTTTTCCATGAGAGAAAGGGACAGATTTAATCAAGGTCCTTATTACCCAAATTGTGGGGTAAAATCAAAGGCTACAGAAAGTAATGTGAACGTAGTATTCCCATGGCTTTCAACTAAAGCATGGATGAGCTGTTTTGTGTGGTGGTGGCAGGTTTGTCCTCAGCCTCTTTCTTTCTGGCAAAGATGTCATCATCATCATTGTCACCATCATGGTCATTAATGTCATCATCATCCCTCATCTCATTCCCATTGTAATATTAAATACCGTTTTGTGTTCTCCATGCACAGTTGGCTCTTCTTCCTCTCCTTCCTCCTCCTCTTGGTTAGTTTCATCTCTATTTCTGGCTTGTGATTTTTCCTCTGATTCCTCTGGTTCAGGATCATAGTTGAAAGTGAAGAAGTTATAGGCTTCTTCGGCAGAAGGGAAGCCAGGTGGAACCTAAGAAGCAGCGAACAAAAGAATTTCAGATTGTTTAAGCTGAGGTGAGTGCCACACAGTTCACTCACAGCAGCTTGATGTTAATAGCATCGGGCACATTCTAAGCATCCTAAGCTTATTACCTTTTTTTGAAGGTATGAGATTACTTGTCACAAACTTTAAGAAGCGCAATAGGCAATTGGTGGCTTCCTCTAATAAGTAACTTTAATGAGTTATGTTTTGATAAACCAGCAAACATTCTCAGAGGCACATGAATATATTTTTTCCAGCAGTAAAAGCTTTTGAAAAGATTATTAAAATACCAGAAAGTAATTCATTATTTTATAGACCAATGCTGAGATAGTTTAATTTAATTATGAGCAATCCAGGGGTCTTCTAACTTAAAAGAAAAAAAGGCTTTTTTTGGTTTTGATTCTTCTTGATTGGTTCCCCCCTTTTTCCCCATAATGAAAGCTGGTACAACTTCAGAGCTGAACAGTCTAACTGCTAACATTTCCTGCCCTTCCATGCAGTTCCTGTCACCCAGTCAGGCAGTATTCTAATCTCTCCTGCTGTATCCTAGCATTTTAAAGGTAGAAATCAGTTCTCATACTTTTTTCTTGTAGGCTCCATGGCAACAAGACTCAGGGTATGTATAGAGACATCTCTCATTGGATATTTTTGAAAAACACAAACAAACTAACAAAAAACATGATTTAAAGCATGCATGATTCAGAAAGACAAGATTTCTTACCGGGGGTTTAGACTTGATTTTTTGTGCAGAATCACGGAACTTTACTCTTGAGTAGCTTTGGGAATTGTCTTCTTGTTTAGTCCTTTGTACCTTTTCACCTGGCTATATGAGTGGAAAGAAGGATAGACTGAACCTTTATTTATTATTTAAAAAATGGATTTATTTATTTATTTATTTATTTATTTATTTATTTATTTATATTTATGAGAGAGAGAGAGGGAGCTCGCACCAGTGAGGGGAGGAGCAGAAGGAGAGGGACAAGCAACACCATACTGAGCGTGGAGCCTGATGTGGGGCTTGATCTCATGACCCTGAGATCATGATCTGAGCCAAAATCAAGAGTTGGATACTCATTGGACTGAGCCATCCAGTTGCTTCAGGATATATAGAACATTTAAATCAAGAAACTAGATATTTCAAAACAAGCATCAACTCTTGAAGGGGAAACCCTGTGACCATTGATGCAGACCACCATTCCTAAGCAATGAAATAACTTACAAATGTCAAATATATTTGAAGATTAAGGTTGCTGAGTATCTTCTCACTCAGCTCTGTCTCTCTCAAGACTGAACAAATATAAAATTTTATACTCAAAAGACCCTTAAATGACAAATGCTATTTCTTCTACAGATCTATAGATTATTTAGTTCACAGAGGACCATTTCCAAACAACCTATGAAGAAAAGCATCAGTAGTGCCCGGATGTAAATAAATCTGACACACACGCTCCAGGGCACAAGGCCTGTCCTCATGAGCCCCTGGACCTGCTATCCCCCTGGAAGCCAAGTTCTATGATACCTCAGTTTGCTAATTCTTTTTTTTTTTTTTAAGATTTTATTTATTTATTTATTCATGACAGACACACACACACACACACACACACAGAGGGAGAAGGTAGAGGAGGGGCAAGATGGCGGAAGAGCAGGGTCCCCAAGTCACCTGTCCCCACCAAATTACCTAGATAACCTTCAAACCATCCTGAAAATTTACGAATTCGGCCTGAGATGTAAAGAGAGACCAGCTGGAACGCTACAGTGAGAAGAGTCCGCGCTTCTATCAAGGTAGGAAGACGGGGAAAAAGAAATAAAGGAACAAAAGGCCTCCGAGGGGGAGGGGCCCCGCGAGGAGCCGGGCTGAGGCCGGGGCGAGTGTCCCCAGGACAGGAGAGCCCCGTCCCGGAGGAGCAGGAGCTGCACCAACCTTCCCGGGCGGAAAGGGGCTGGCAGGGAGTTGGAGCAGGACCCAGGAGGGCGGGGATGCCCTCGGGCTCCCGGGGACACTAACAGACACCTGCGAGCGCAGGAGAGTGCTCCGAGCTCCCTAAGGGCTGCAGCGCGCACCGAGGGACCGACCGGAGCAGCTCGGAGGGGCTCGGGCGGCGGCTCCGCGGAGGGGGCTGCGGGGCGGGAGCGCGAATCCCACAGCGCAAGCCCCGGAGCACAGGGCGCCGGGACACAGCCCAGGACCCGGCCTCCCCCGGGACAGGCAGAGGCTGGGAGGGCCCAGGACAGCGAGGACGCTCCTGCCCCGAGCTGAGCAGATCAGCGGCCCCGCCCCGGAGCCTCCAGGCCCTGCGGACGGAGAGCCGAGAGCCCCGAGCCCCGTAGTTCCTGCGGAGGCTGAATCCAGGCTTCCAGAGCTGGCCCCGCCACTGCGGCTGTTCCTCCTGGGGCCTCACGGGGTAAACAACCCCCGCTGAGCCCTGCAGCAGGCAGGGGCAGAGCAGCTCCCCCAAGTGCTAACACCTGAAAATCAGCACAGCAGGCCCCTCCCCCAGAAGACCAGCTGGACGGACCAGTGATACTCCCCCGTGTTCCAATACAACTTGTTTCTGGCCACTCTGCGCTGAGCAAAATGACTAGAAGGAAAACCTCACCTCAAAAGAAAGAATCAGAAACAGCCCTCTCTCCCACAGAGTTACAAAATCTGGATTACACTTTAATGTCAGAAAGCCAATTCAGAAGCACTATTCTACAGCTACTGGTGGCTCTAGAAAAAAGCATTAAGGCCTCACGAGACTTCATGACTGCAGAATTTAGATCCAATCAGGCAGAAATTAAAAATCAATTGAATGAGATGCAATCCAAACTAGAAGTCCTAACGACGAGGGTTAACGAGGTGGAAGAACGAGTGAGTGACATAGAAGACAAGTTAATGGCAAAGAGGGAAACTGAGGAAAAAAGAGACAGTCAATTAAGGGACCATGAAGACAGATTAAGGGAAATAAATGACACTCTAAGGAAGAAAAACCTACGTTTAATTGGGGTTCCCGAGGGCGCCGAAAGGGACAGAGGGCCAGAATATGTATTTGAACAAATCCTAGCTGAAAACTTTCCCAATCTGGGAAGGGAAACAGGCATTCAGATCCAGGAAATAGAGAGATCCCCCCCTAAAATCAATAAAAACCGTTCAACACCTCGACATCTAATAGTGAAGCTTGCAAATTCCAAAGATAAAGAGAAGATCCTTAAAGCAGCAAGAGACAAGAAATCCCTGACTTTTATGGGGAGGAGTATTAGGGTAACAGCAGACCTCTCCACAGAGACCTGGCAGGCCAGAAAGGGCTGGCAGGATATATTCAGGGTCCTAAATGAGAAGAACATGCAACCAAGAATACTTTATCCAGCAAGGCTCTCATTCAAAATGGAAGGAGAGATAAAGAGCTTCCGAGACAGGCAGGAACTGAAAGAATATGTGACCTCCAAACCAGCTCTGCAAGAAATTTTCAGGGGGACTCTTAAAATTCCCCTTTAAGAAGAAGTTCAGTGGAACAATCCACAAAAACAAGGACTAAATAGATATCATGATGACACTAAACTCATATCTGTCAATAGTAACTCTGAACTTGAATGGGCTTAATGACCCCATCAAAAGGCGCAGAGTTTCAGACTGGATAAAAAAGCAGGACCCATCTATTTGCTGTCTACAAGAGACTCATTTTAGACAGAAGGACACCTACAACCTGAAAATAAAAGGTTGGAGAACCATTTACCATTCAAATGGTTCTCAAAATATACCCTAAAAACTATAGAACACTTCTGAAAGAAATTGAGGAAGACACAAAGAGATGGAAAAATATTCCATGCTCATGGATTGGCAGAATTAATATTGTGAAAATGTCAATGTTACTCAGGGCAATTTACACGTATAATGCAATCCCTATCAAAATACCATGGACTTTCTTCAGAGAGTTAGAACAAATTATTTTAAGATTTGTGTGGAATCAGAAAAGACCCCGAACAGCCAGGGGAATTTTAAAAAAGAAAACCATAGCTGGGGGCATCACAATGCCAGATTTCAGGTTGTACTACAAAGCTGTGGTCATCAAGACAGTGTGGTACTGGCACAAAAACAGACACATAGATCAATGGAACAGAATAGAGAACCCAGAAGTGGACCCTGAACTTTATGGTCAACTAATATACGATAAAGGAGGAAAGACGATCCACTGGAAGAAAGACACTCTCTTCAATAAATGGTGCTGGGAAAATTGGACATCCACATGCAGAAGAATGAAACTGGACCACTCTCTTGCACCATACACAAAGATAAACTCAAAATAGATGAAAGATCTAAATGTGAGACAAGATTCCATCAAAATCCCAGAGGAGAACTCAGGCAACACCCTTTTTGAACTTGGCCACAGTAACCGGAGAAGGACAAACAGTGTATGTTCTCATTCATTTGGGGAATATGAATAATAGTGAAGGGGAATATAGGGGAAGGGAGAAGAAATGTGTGAGAAATGTCAGAAAGGGAGACAGAACATAAAGACTTCTAACTCTGGGAAATGAACTAGGGGTGGTGGAGGGGGAGGAGGGAGGGGGGTGGGGGTGAATGGGTGACGGGCACTGAGGGGGACACTTGACGGGATGAGCACTGGGTGTTATTCTGTATGTTGGTAAATTGAACACCAATAAAAATTAATTTATTAAAAAAAAAAAAAAGAGGGAGAAGGTAGAGATGAAGCAGGCTCCACGCAGGGAGCCCAATGTGGGATTCGATCCTGAGTCTCCAGGATCACACCTTGGGCCTACGGCAGGTGCTAAACCACTGAGCCACCCAGGGATACCTGCTAATTCTTAATACGGGGATTCCCTTTACCCTGTGATGGCCAATCCACGAAGGGTTGTTCCCACTTTATCCTCATCTTTGCTTCTTCTTCTTCTTCTTCTTTTTTTTTAAAGATATTTATTCATGAGAGATAGAGAGAGAGGCAGAGACATAGGCAGAGGGAGAAGCAGGCTCCCTGTGGGGAGCTTGATGCAGGACTTGATCCTAGTACCCTGGGATCACTCCCTGAGTCGAAGGCAGATGCTCAACCACTGAGCCACCCAGGTGTCCCTGCTCATCTCTGCTTCTAATCCACCCCTTACAGAACCTGGCTACTCCTCCTTTTCTACCCAGCACAATCCAAATACCAAGCCTTCCTTCTGACTGATTCTAAGCCATTCCAATAATATATGTAGATATTCATAATAGGAAAGGACAAACATATGCTACATGTGATGGAAACTTTTTTATTATCATCTGGACTGAGACTTGTGTTACAGCATGGAATAATTTTCATCAGGGCAAATGGAATGTTTCATCAGGGCACTGGGTTCCTTTCACATATCCTTCTCAAGTCCTACCTGTTTTTCCAGATCATGTAAAGCTACTTCCTTTCTCAGATTCCTCCATCCTAAAATGAAATCTCTTTTCTAGAATCTTACTGTCTGAGGTATATTAGGTGTTGTTCTGTAGAGCTTGGTAATCAAATCACAGGCTCTGAAGGCTGACCACCTGGCTTTGGTTTTTTTTTTTTTTTTAAGATTTTATTTATTTATTCATGAGAGACACGCACAGAGAGAGAGAGAGGCAGAGACACAAGCAGAGAGAGAAGCAGGCTCCATGCAAGGAGCCTGATGCGGGACTCGATCCCGGGACTCCAGGATCACACCCTGGGCCGAAGGCAGGGGCTAAACTGCTGAGCCACCCAGGGATCCCCTGACCACCTGGCTTTGAATCCCAGATTCATCACATACAGCTGAGATCACTTTTTTTTTTTTTTAGATTTTATTTATTCATGAGAGACACACAAAGAGGCAGAGATATAGGCA